GCTCCAGACAATTCGCTCTAGACAATCATAAAATTTAATTATACTTTATATTATATAATTTCCTATTAATAGAAACAAGGCAAATTTTTTTCTTCAATAAATCTGCCTGGTTTTTATTGCTGACAGTCTATATTTTAATTCTAAAAAAAAACAAAAACAAATAAAACCTCAGAGATGAAATCGAAACTTCTATAATTTATATTGTAACCATTTTGTTAATTTACGACATAAATATTTAACATGCTATTTAATATTAAAAATTTATTAAATTTCCTGTGGTAAACTCTAATATTATAGAAATCGCACCTATCTGAACATAAACTGTACAAAAATTAAAGTGTGTTACATTCTGCGGGATGTTTTTTAAAGAGCTTCTATACGGTTCTAATGCTAAAGTAATTGCTTTTTAATATGGGGGACTTTAATGTTGCTTCAATATAATAGATTTACGTACTGTCATATTCTTACCATCACGATGCAAAAAGGTCTCACTTACTTATTCAGAAATAGCTACTCTTCAACTACTTTATTCGAAGCTTCAAGTATTGAAACTTAAAAATTATATTTTTAGAATGCCAATCTACAATGTCTATATTGTTTGCTTTGTTTTCCAGATTCAAAAATTTTTTACGACAGTTCTATCGTATCCATCCGATCAGATCTGCAAAATCTGCTCCGCTGCATTTATAGCGAGCTATTTTATCGATCTTATCGCCGCAGTATCTTTTATCTTACTAATCCCGTTTACGACACATAATACATATTTGTAATATTTTACACTACACTCCATTCTTCAGTGTCAAATGGGGATTTATCATACAAAATCCCATTATTAGTTGACGAATCAGAATCATTACTTAGAATGTCATCTGACGGACTAGTTTTATATATTTGTATCCAATCTTCATAAGATATAATGTTCCAATTTTTAGGATTCTCCGTAAGAGTATTTAACCAATCATCGATTTTGTTTCGATAAATAACATCCCCATCATTATTAAGAAAATAAAAAGTGTTGACTTCTCTAAATTCATTATTCCATGCTTCC